CTCCCCCCACCCACCCACCCCCAGCCCGCGCACATTTTCCGTGAGGTTGATTAATCTCCCAGCTGTTGATGGGTTCAGGCAAAACAGACCTAGAAGATAGGGAAAAACAAAATAAAACAGAACAATGGTTACTAGCTGCAAAATGCATGTCAGAAGGGTTCTTTCCAATCGCCTGTTCAGTCATTCTAGGATTCTTTTTTTTTTCAGGGTCAGAAAAATCAATATTTCATTCTTAAATCTGTTTACATTGCTAATAATGGATCATTAAAGCTTTGAAGTCAGGTTAGCAAGTTGAGATTTAAAATGGAGTGTTTCTGCACCCTAGATTATATATTAACCCAGTTTCTTAGACAGCGAAAGAGAAAAAGCACTTTAAATGAAATATCAATAAAATGTGATCTAGGGTGTGTTACTGAGCTGTTCTGTTTCTTCCCCATTCTTGTGCTTCTCCATGTTTATTTTTCCCTTTCTGAGCTCTGTTTTGAGGGTAGCTACTTACCGTGAGAAAATGCAGCAACATGTGTGTGGGGCGGGTTAAGAACCCAGCTCTTAACAGCAAAGGCTAGCAAGTTATAATGCAAGAGCGACCTTTCTTTAAGGGTTTGCTCCCTACCTTCTCTCACCCCTTCCTTCACCCGCTAAATTCCGGCAGTGGCTGCAGTGTTTGGGGACCGCGTCCGGTTTCCGGCCCAGGCTCCGCGCCGAGCAGGGCATCCTGACTTCGGCCAGGGCTGCGCCGCTGCTGGATGCAATTCGTTCTAAGATCATAAATCAAACGCTTTCTATGAATGAGAATGTCATCAAAGAGATCAATTGCAGGAACACATGCACAAATAAAAATCCTCTTACGTATTTGCCGGGGATCCCCGTCCGAAAGCATTAAGTTAGAAGGCGTTTAGTCATAATTCATTTTTATTGCTCGTTTAAAACAACAGCTTGGCTCAGCCGCGGATGCCAGGAACAGCTCAGGGGCCTCCGCGGCGTTTTGTCTCCTCCTCCGCTCCTTTTCTTTCTAGTAGAGGAGCCCTCTAAGAGGCACTTTGCGCGGAGAAGCTGCTCGCAGATGGTCATTTTAATCGTGTCTAAACTTGCCTTTCTCTCCTGGGGCAATTAGAGACTTGAGCTCGAATCTTGGGTCGCGGACTTACTTACCTAGAGTACCAAGGGTCCCCTGGGCGGCGGAATGCCCCCTAGGGTTCCTCGGGAATTGGGGCTGGGGAAAGATCCTAGCTACCAGAGCCTGCGGGCTCCAGGCCTGGGGAAAGCTGCCTCAGTGAGCAGCTCCGGGAGAGAGGCGTCCTGGGCAGCCGCCGGGGCGGGGAGCAGGCTGGGCTGTGAGCGTTGGGCTGTGGGAAGCCGCGCATAAAGACGGGTGGGTAGTTGGCCTGAGTGCGAGTTCGAGATCCCAAAGAAAACACCCAACCCAGGCTCTCCAGAAAAGAGATCAGGAGAAAAAGTGGTGGAGAGAGGGGAGTGTAGAAGCCGAGAACTCACAGAGACAAGAGAGCCTCTGAAGCCTTTTGGGGGAGGTGTCGTGACGGGGTGGCCTTGGGGCCAGCGTCCGGGAGCCAGGGGGATGGTGGGGGAGGTGTGCATATGCTGCGGAAGAGGCCCACAAAGGTACAAGAATGAGGCTTGAGGGAGATAAGACAGGCTTCAGTTTGGAGAGCAAATCGCCTGCACTGTCAGCACCGACCCATTCACATCTTGCTCCTGCCTCGCAGGAGCACTTTGCCCACGGCTGGAGGCCTGTCCAGCTCAAAGAAGCCGCCTCCAGGAGGGCTGCCTAGCCTTTCCTCCTTCTCCAGGATGAAGATCCCCAGGAGCTGAAACTGGTGTGTGTGTGTGTGTGTGTGTGTGTGTGTGTGTGTGTGTGTGTGTGTGCAGGGGGTATGGTGGCAGGGGTGGGTGGTGGTGGTGGTAAGTTTACAGCCCGTGCTCCCTATTAACTATGCTTTGGGGTTAGGTGAAAGGTCACGGTGAAATATTCCAAAAGGAAATGTTTAAGGAAAATTTTTTTTATTGATATTGAGATTGAGGGAGTCTGGAGTCAAAGGTCTGCTGCATAGACTTTCCCTCTTGGGCAGACAGGTTTTGAGGAAACTTCTATATGTGGAGAACGGAACACAGAAGCCTCAAAGGGTGACCAGCACAGTTGAAATGTGCCTGCCTTTTTCTAATAGGGGAGGGGAAATGGGGAGAGACAAGCCCACACACAATCCTCACTACTAATTTCATCTGTCTGATCTGATGTTGCAAAGTAAAATCTGTGCAGCTTTGGCTACAAGCTTCTTAGATAAACTCTGGGTTTTTCCTACTTAAGAACTCATCACTCCTCAGACTCTGGCCTTTTCTCTCCACACACCCAGAGGTGACAAAAAGCCTAATAGTAAACAGCAATTAACAACCCCGGCCGCATCATTGTAGGATGAGGGTGATGGAGAATAAGACCCCTGGCCTGGTATGACACTCAGAATGGCACTCTCGTCTCTCTAGGGAAAAACTTGAGGGTTCACACAAACAACTACACAGTCCGTTAGAAATGGTGGGAGATACAGTTGAAAAAGAAAAAAGTGTCTCGTTCATCCTCAGCCATCTGTCCACCGCTCCTCCCACCTGCCAGATCCCACCCCCACCCCCAGGCATACAGTAGCGCGGGGGATGGGGAGACGGCTGCCCCACTCCTAACATTCCCTTCCTGAACACTAGAAACTTGACGGGGGTAGTTCAGCACACTTTGTAGGAGCCGCGGTCTGACCCAGTGAGGCCTGTGCCGGAGCGCGCAAGCTCTGGGGGTCCGAGGAGTCGGCAGATGGCTCGGCCCGGCCCCCACGCTGCTCACGTCTGCTCTCGTCATTCCCCCCAGCCCCCGCCTTCTACCAACTGCAGCCCAGTAGCTCCGGATCCCGGAGCAGCAAAGCTGAGTGGGGAAGAAAAAGGGGCGGAGGGCGGGCCAGAGGGAGGGCGCAGAAGAGCCTGGCCCAGCTAGGCCTTTTCCAGCCAGCTCCAAAACAAGCGCTCACCCGCCCCCGGGAGTCGAATTACAGAAGCTCTTCATTGCCATGCTAATGGCGATCGGGGGTTGGCGAGACCCTCCGAGGAGAAGGGAAGTTTCTTTTTCGCTCTTTCCCTCCACAGCCACCGGCTTGCCCCTCAGACCATCTTCTGTGCCCAGCCCTCTCCCTTCAGAGCTTGGACAGCCTCGCACTCCGCCATCATTCTCTAAGCGCTACACAACCCCACGACCTCACTGCCTGGGCTGTGCAGTGGAAGCTCCCCGGGATCCTGGGCCGCGCTGGGGCCCGATTTCCACCCTTCCGGTTCGGCGCGCGCCGCGCTCAGCCGGGGTACTTGCGGCCACCCCGCGCTCACCCTGGTCCTCCTATTCCCGTCCCAGGAGGGTCGGGAGCCCTCTACCCTTCTCACCTCTTTCCGAGCCCGGTGGGGAGGGGGACGGGGACGGGGGGGTGCTCCCAGCTCTCTCCTCCCGGAGTGGGGGCTACCGGTGTCGGGAGCGCGCAGAAGGTAGCCTCGGGTTCTCTAGGTCCCAGCGCTCCGAATCTGCCATCGCAGCCGCCGGGGCTCCCGCCGCCTCCTGGGCTGCCTGGGGGGGCGACTGCGCGTCACCTAGGCGGAGGAGCGCCAGGGATTTAAATGCCACTGAAACGGTGATCCATCACCGCCGGAGCCGGCAAACTTTCGCAGGAGGCTCAGCCATTGGTTGACAAAGTCACGTGCCCTTCCCTTAGCGCCCTCCGCCCTCCGGCCCCCCCTCTTGCGCACTGTACATTCATATCATTTTTCTTCTCCGGCCCCATGGAGGAAGTGAGAAAGTTGGCACGGTCACCCAGGGCTTCGCAGGACACGGTCACTCAGTGACAGATGGACAATGCAAGAATGAGCTCCTTCCTGGAATACCCCATCCTTAGCAGTGGCGACTCGGGGACCTGCTCAGCGCGAGCCTATCCCTCTGACCATGGGATTACAACTTTCCAGTCGTGCGCGGTCAGTGCCAACAGCTGCAGCAGCGACGACCGCTTCCTAGTGGGCAGGGGGGTGCAGATCAATTCACCCCACCACCACCACCACCATCACCACCCCCAGCCGGCCACTTACCAGACTTCTGGGAACCTGGGGGTGTCCTACTCCCACTCGAGTTGTGGTCCAAGCTACAGCGCGCAGAACTTTGGTGCGCCTTACAGCCCCTACGGGTTAAATCAGGAAGCAGACGTAAGTGGCGGGTACCCCCCGTGCGCTCCCGCAGTTTACTCTGGAAATCTCTCATCTCCCATGGTCCAGCATCACCACCACCACCACCAGGGTTATGCCGGGGGCTCGGTGGGCTCGCCTCAATACATTCACCACTCATATGGACAAGAGCACCAGAGCCTGGCCCTGACTACGTATAATAACTCCTTGTCCCCTCTCCACGCCAGCCACCAAGAAGCCTGTCGCTCCCCTGCGTCAGAGACATCTCCAGCACAAACCTTTGACTGGATGAAAGTTAAAAGAAACCCTCCCAAAACAGGTCAGTCCTGCCGGCCAGAGGATGCACCTTGATGAATCAGTAGGAGCTGGTTTGCTTTGTTTCCAAAATTATTATTTTTTTAAAAAAGAAAGGTTCTTGCTTCTGACTAAGGTTGTAGAGTGCAGGGAGTGTATCCAGTTGTGTTGGGGCAAAGGAGTCTCTAGGAGTGGTGTGTTTTCAAAGGGTGTGAGTTTTAAATATTCTGGATGTAGGACGTGTGTGTGTGTGTGTGTGTGTGTGTGTGTGTGTAGTGTTGGTGGTGATGGTGCTCTGTTAATATCTCTAGGTTCCATTAATCACTACTTGTACCACGCTAATGACTGGCTTCAGGTTAACACTTCTCACCTTATCACTCAGCTTCCCCGGCCGGTTTGTGTTGAGAAATTCATGATTTACCATTTACCTGAATATTCTGAGGTGTGTAGGGGATGTCCTATTTAAGGATTTTTACCTTGTCCTCTCTTCCCCTCCCACTTTACCTCAGGGAAAGTTGGAGAGTATGGTTATGTGGGTCAACCTAATGCTGTGCGCACCAACTTCACCACCAAGCAGCTCACGGAGCTGGAGAAGGAGTTCCACTTCAACAAGTACCTGACGCGGGCCCGCAGGGTGGAGATTGCGGCGTCCCTGCAGCTCAATGAGACCCAGGTGAAGATCTGGTTCCAGAATCGAAGAATGAAGCAAAAGAAACGTGAGAAGGAGGGGCTCTTGCCCATCTCACCGGCCACCCCACCCGGAAGCGACGAAAAGGCTGAGGAATCCTCAGAGAAATCCAGCTCCTCACCCTGCGCTCCTTCTCCGGGGTCTTCTACCTCAGACACTCTAACTACCTCCCACTGAGGCCGCCCCAGCCCCAGACTCTGCAGTCCTGGCCTCTCCTTGGGCTGGAATTCCTTACCCAAAGCACATTGTTAGCTTATCTTTCCTTCCATTTTCAGTCTTTTCCTTTCTGATCCTATCTGGGGAGCTTATGGCCAGGATAATGTGTTTCCAGATCATTCTAGGCCAAAGACTCAGTAAGAGGTTAACTCCTGAATACATCCAGACTGGGTGCCAGCCTCAATTTCTGATGATCCCTAACTTTGCTCAGTTATTGTAGGAGATTACCATACAACCTGCTGTTTATTTCAGATGACCTTTACTAGCAGAAACATGTCAGAGGGCCGCATCTCACCATTTAGCTAACTGTATTTACCTTGACCTTACCTTGCCCTTAAAAGTAGAAGATAGAGAAAGGAGAGAGTCCAGAAGCTCATGAAGAAGAGATGCACTATGAGTGTGTTTACACAGTTAATTCATCCTTAATTTAATTCAGTGTCATGCGTGAGTTTGCTGATTGTAAATACTTTGTCCTAAGAGATTTATCTTTATACAAATTTTCTAGAAAAGTTTAGATTAGGTGACTAAATCAGACAGGGTGGGCAAAACTCTCAAAACTGGCACAATTTTGTATGCAATTATAGGTGAAAGAATGAATTCCCTCATTTAAACCCAACCAGATGCTCAGATGGTAGCCTCAATTTCTTCTTTTGCTGAGTTAAGAAGGCCTGTAGAGCACAAGGTTTAGGAACCTGGATTCCTGTGCTAAATCTCTCCCCAGCTCTACCCCTTTCTTCTTGTGTCCCTGGCCACCCTCCATTTAAAATTTGTGCTGGTTTATTGAGAACCTAAAGGTATTATTCAAATCAACTTCTTCCTCTCAAAGTAATCTTAGCTGGATATGGTGTATTTTCAGCTCAGTTGTTAATGTGACGGATGGCATAATGAATGTATATTTTGTGTGATTCGTGAATAGTCTTTTGCATGTCGCACAATGTTTTGATGTTTCTGAAGTACCACACTGAGTTCTATCAGTTTATTCTTTGTGAGCCTATGATATTCCTCATTTCCTGTACAATCATGAACAGCTCTGAGATCCTGAAGTGATGTGATCCAGAGCAAAGTTTACGGGTCTTACAATGTCTGTAATAAATATATTCAAGTTTCAGGTATGTTTAAGCATCTGTGTATTTGGCTGGGTTACAGTTTGTGGCTTCATACCATACATAGTTGGCTCATTTCATGTAGAGAAGAGGAGGATATGTGCTTCCAAAGAAGTGGGCCTTTTCTTGAAAAAAAGGAAGTACTTTCCATTATCATGCAGCTGAAACTTCCCCTATGAGTGTAATTTCACATAACCAATGTCTATTTAATGTATCGATTCTCCTTAAAATAGCATCTTTATTATAATTGAAATTTATAATGAAGAAAAGGAATAGTGAAGAAATTTATGAAGCAGATCTATTTGTGAAACAAACATGGATACTTCCTGGGTCAAGTACTAACCTTTTCACCTCCAACTGAATGTTGACGTATATATAAACAGAACCCCCTTCAAAAGCTGAAACTGTCTTCAGTCAGTCTTTCCTCACATCAGTGAACCAAGAGCAGAGAGATTCACATTTAATTAGCTCCAGTATAAAGCTCTTGTGAGGAGAGGCCCCACTCTACCCCTCTTCCTTCTTTTTGGATTGTCAGAGTGTTCCAATATATTCCACCCTTTAAATTGAGTGCAGTCCCATTCTTCCTGTCAACATCCATCCTTTCCTGCTCCTCCTCACCCCCATCTCTGGGTTACACATCTTATTCCCTTCAGACTCAGCTTTGATTTCATAGCCATCATGGCTGCACAAAGTTCACAGTTTAAATTTCTTGCCACATAATCCTGAAAAAAAGTTTTCATTTTCTTTCTGGGCTCAATAAGTTCTTTCAGATGAACTGTGGAAGCTAGGTTGGTCTTTCAATATCCAAGCTATTTCTGACCAAAGCCTCAGATCTGAAACAGAGGAGGCCAGCAAATGATAAGAGTTCAAAGTGCTTCTCTTCCCACAACTTTTGCCACTTTCCTTTTACTTTCACATATATCTGGAGGATTTGAGCCCCAAGAGCACAGCAGAAATTTTACAGCATCCCAAACAAATACAGACATATGACTTCTTTCCTTCCCAAAGGGTGTTTTAAAAGGATGGGCTGGGAAGAAAACGCTATAAAAACTTGGAATTTTCAGGCTTTCTAGAGTACCCACGAGATTTCCTACACTGCACTGTTATAGGACCACACCCAGGCTGGTAGGCACAGTTACAGCGGGCATATCAAGGGCACCGGGTGCCCTCCCCTCAGTTGCTGGGTTCTGAAGTTGCCTCTAAAAGACTGAAGTGGATGGAGAACTTCAAAGACAGCCAAACCTTTCTTTCATTTCCCGCCTGGCCCTGTACTGTATCTTTTGTTTATTAGTGTAAGGCCACACAGCAAAACAGATGGCTGGTTTCCAAATACTTTAATGTGTTAAAGTGTCATTTGCATGCCACTGTCTTGATTTCAATATCTAAAAGCAGGGCCAACCCACTGGAATCCTAGAGATTCCAGTCTTCTAGGTGCTGGTTTTAATGTAGCTGACAGGGAGAGGAAAACAATAACTTTTGCCTAAACCCTAGGCTTTTTTAGGTCATGGAATAAATCAGTTAACAAGCCTTGCATTTAGGAAACATTAATATACCTTTCAACAAAGAAAACATTTGTATCTTTTTTGCTGGCCCAATCGATTAAATCAAAGGCGTTTAACACATCCTATTTCAAGCTCTCTCTCTGTTTTGGTCTCTGGAGAGCATAGTTAGCTCCTTAATGAAAGCAATTGTAACTGAAGCAACATAAAGAAGGAAAACAAAATAATATTTTATTGATAAGTTTAAGAAAAAACAAGGGATTCAATTAAGGACCTGGATATTTGCAATATAAGATTAGTTTTCAAATCTTTTTTATTCACTCTCTCTACAGTCAACCAAAATACTCCTAAAATTCAGAGTGTCCCCAGACTAGGCTAAATTGAGATTTTGCTGTGACTCTGAAGTCTGCTCTGGGCTTCACCTTTGAAAGTTTACTTTTGGAGGCTATTCAGATGCGATGGTGTTTTCCTCTGGAGCAATCAGATTCAAACCGATCAATATTTACTCAGTCTGAAAGGGTTGTTGAAAAGGCTGCTAACAACAAACTGCTTAGCTGCTCACCCCTGTTTAATCTCAGGTTCACCGAAAGTTCAAGAAGAGATGAATGCAGTGATGGGTCACTTTAGAAAGAGTCCCAGCGGTTTATCTGAGCTCTCAGCTAAAGGCAACAATTACAGTTCCATCCCTCTTTGGGAAAGGGGCAACTTTTCTGTTATTCTTTTGCTGAACAATGTTTACGAGGAATTTAACACACTTTCCTCTTCTATCCTGGATCATCCTTCCTTCCTTCCTTCCTTTTCTTCCTTCCTTCTCCCCCCTCTTCTTTCTTTTCCTCCCTTCCTCCCACCCTCCCTCCCTTCCTTCCTTCTGGAAGCTTCTGCCCTTCCTCTGCCTCTCCCTTCCGTTTCTGCGTATCACTAGGTTTCATTTGACTTAAAATAAATTACATTGAGTATTTTAAAATGTCGATTAGTCTGAGGGAAGAGATCCAATTTATTTCATATGCTATGAACTATGAAATGAAACCATTTGGGCCATTAGAGTTTATCTTTGTGAAAGTACAGCACAAGATTGAATTGAAATTTACTTGCGTTTAAGTAATACTGACAATCAAAGCCCCCAGTATCCATCTGAGGTGGGTCTTCAGACAACATTGGTGGGGATCAGAGGGTGAATTTGCTTGTACAGAAGTAAATACTTCAGGTGGAAAGTCAACTTTAAAATTTTACACCTTTCAACTACTGAGGTGAGAAAAGAGGACTCAAAGAAGGCAGTGGGAAATGGTGGATAGAAGATGCTGGACACAGAAGCTAATTGCTACAGCTCTTCAGAGGTCAAAGTTCATGTAATCACTGCATAAATGCATACTAAATAGGGATTTATTAAGCTTTCCTGATGGCTGAGCACGTCTTTTAAAAATGGTCTTTGCTGTTTGTGTTTCTTCCATAAGAACAATCATTCTTGAAGCAGAAAATCTAGGTGCTTGAGTATAATTTACAGTTTGAGAGACAGGAAACCCTGTTGCTATAAAATTTCTAAATCAGTGGATGGACAGCACCTTTTTATTTGCTGGGACTATAAAATACCTTTCTTACTCTTAGAAAAGGGTCTTTTTCAATACACACAAAGAATACATGTTAGTATGCCCCTGTCAGATAAACTTTTCACTGGGTGGCTCACCCTGGTGACTCTGCTACAGATTAAGTCTACTTTGCGCCTGTATTTCTGAGAGCATATAAAAGCTCTGCTTTAGAACTCCTCATGCAACCAGAATGGAATCTACCTGAATGGGATCTATTTATTCAATGTCTCATTTTATGTTTCAGGAAATGCCACTCAGAGGAGGACTGATTTGATTAAGGGTATGTAGTCAGTCATCAGTACTTACTAAATTTAAAATAAAATCAGAGTAGCTCATACTTGAGCCCAATGCACTTTTTAATTCTAAAATTCTGGGTTAATTCCCCCAAATTTATTCTATGTAACTTGTTTCAAGCTGGATATTGCTTTTTTCTACTTGTTTCATTGGCCAGTCAGTCAAATCCTTGATTTTTGAAGTACTCAGGACTACTGAATGTTTGAAACTTCTGAGTTGAATATTTCTACAACCTTGTTCTATTAGTAATATGTTAGGCAACTTGCCCTTTAAAAAATACATTCTTAAAATAAAAATATAGAGAACGGGTAAAATTATAGACACACACACTTGTTTTGTCTTTAAACCGAAATGCAAGAAGAATAAATAAAAGGGGGATTTTCCACACTGAAGTTTGTGCTCTATTAAATGATCAAGAGATATCACCTAGGAAGATTTAAAATATAAGGAACATTCCAGGAGGGATCTTAACTCTGAATCTTTTTGTTGATGTTTTTTTCTGTCTACTTCGTCCTTTGAATGGCTTTGACCCATATTTTCCCCCACTCAGTTGTGTTATCTAACACACACACACACACCAAGCCCAAACTATTAACATAAAGTTTCCCTGCAACATAAATTTCAGTATTTTTCTCCATCTGATCTCTTTGGGGTCCTACTAATCCCAGAAGAGCCTTTTGCCAAGGACATCAGTGTCTGTCAGTATTTGAAGAGCTGAACAGGAATCCTCAGCCTTTCAGTGTCTTATTTTAAATAATACCAGCTATTATATATAGCTGACCTTCACTCCAGAACTACACACCAATTATTAATCAAGCAACTGTTTTGTAACTGTTAACCTTTGAAGAGGTCTCTTTTTTTTTTCCTCAAAAAATGTTTGAGAGATTGCATTTTGTTTAATGGAACTAAATGAAGAGAGAAATGTTTCTCAATATTTTCAAGCACAGCTAAAATGTCTCTATTTTAAAACAGCATATTAAATTTTACTTATTAAAAACGTGATAAAAAAGGTTCAACCACATAGCTAATCTATAGCCATCAGACTGTCTTGTATTTTCATTTTTGTGTGGTTAACTGGTTAGAAACAATACAGAACTGCTTGCAACAGAAAATGAAAAGAAACTGCATTTTTTTTCTTTAAAAACTGGGATTTTTTTTTTAGTTGCCTTGAATATTTTACAAATTATTCACTTCGTTTTGAAAGAAAAATCGCCAGAGTGCCATAAGGAGAACGCAGAAAACGATGATTTCAAAATGACCCCGCCCCTCAACCTCCGCAACCCCGCCGAAATATCAGCAATTTGGTTCTGGTGAAGTACGAATGGGGATCCTCCATTCTGAGGAATAAATGGAGGGTCTGCTTCAGGAGACGAGCAGGGAGCAGCTGAGCGACCCCGGCGCGAGCTCGGCTCGGGCGATCTATACGGTCGCGGGGCGGCGGTCGCGCCAACTCGGTCCGCTGCAGGACAGAC